AAGTATAATTAGCGCCCTGGCGCGGTCTACAATAATCAAAGAAAACCCGAATGAGTGAGACAATTCATTACGCAACTTAAATAAAATTGAACACACTTATGAAATTAAGTTAATTAATTTGAATTTGAAGCTTGACAATGATATGCATAATGATCAACTTATATATTATTATTATTATTATTGTTATTATGTACTTACCCAAACAACGCACAGATAAATGCTTGGAAAGCAATCTTCCAAGTCAATTTTGGCCTGTTTTTCCTGCAATATTTGCTAACAATAACTATCACCTCAAAATCAAAATACATATGCAAAAACGTACACACCGTTGGAAATATCATTATTATTTCATTATACGAAGCGTAACAAAATTGCGAGTAGGACATTAGAGGAAAATTTTTTCTATCTTTCTTTTTTTGTCTTATAAGCTTTGAAAACTAAAAATGGCCACTTCCAACTTCATCAATGTATGCTATATACTGCAAATAAGCTGCCTTCATAAATTTTTAAGCCAACTAAGAGAATCATCATTTCAAGAAAATGAGTAGAATAAATATTCGTTCCAAATTAGGACACCAATAAAGTATTACTTTGCAATACATAAGAAATAATTAATAAAAAAATTACATGTAATCATTTTTTTTTTTAATAAAAAACTTTCCTCCTATTACCTTTCAAGCACAAGAGCTAGAGGAACAACAGTAGCAGCAGCAAACAAAAAACGATAAGCGATCAAAACCCGCAAACTAAAACCATTATTTCCAGCCAATTTGTAGAAGATATTAACCCCCGCCAAGACTACTTGGACCGTCACCATCATCATAGTTGGCTTAAGCCCGTGTATAAGATCACAAAAATTTCCCATTTCTAGTGTATTAAGTAGAAAAAAATAAAATGAATAAAGGAAAAAAAATAAAATAAAACAAGAATGATTAAATAATCCAAGGTGGGTATGTATATAGGAATCTGCAGTGTCTTTTTTTCTTTCTTTTCCTATTTTCCTTCTTTCAGAAAGCAAGAGGGTAATTAAGTTTTGAGGGAATATAGGTTGATTAACAATGTAGAGGAAAGTGAAGGTGGCTGCACAACGTGGAAATGGGACTTGAAATATATTTATAGAGTTCATTTGGGGAGTAATTTATTTTGGAGTGAAAATGCATGGAAACATAGTTATTAAGTGGGATTAAGAAAACGAGGTATTTGCAATTTTCCGACGTAAGCGATTAAAAGAGCAGAGTGTCGATGGAGAAATTGTGTTTGTAATTGTTTGTCTCATCGCTGTCTAGTCACCCTAACGGTGCTCCGCACACACGTGGACTTCCTATGTTATAAATATTTAATTTAGACAATATATGTAAATTAAATGTGTATAGTTGTCATATTATAATTGAATTAAAGATATTTACTAATTTATAATTTTGAATAAAGAGAGTATCAAATTATTGTGGATACGAAAGGGTAAATACCATTACACAATTTGAAAATAAAGATTCGGAAACGGAAATTATTGTTGTTTTAAGGGTCGTTTTCTGGTACTAATACACAACAGAGATAAATAAATTCCGTTTCATAATTGATCATGTGAAAACAGGGTGTCTAATACTCGAAAACGAAAAATAATTCGTTCCTGTCAGGAATGATTATGGCACCAATACTAATTTGTTGCGGAATTTCGTTACTAATGCACCAAATTCTAGTAGTGAATTATGAGTTTGTTAGTTTGTTGAGAGACCAAACTAAAAACTAAAATAATTACTTATCTGGTAGTGGCCCCAAACCACGTAAATTAATTGACATATTTCTGAACATGTGTATGTCCTTTAAAAGGCACAACTGCAATACAAGATATAGATATATATAGGGAAAATTCAAAACTAGTCCCACAGGTTGAAGGGGTGCCATTTTTTTCCCCCCAAGATAGCGAAAGTTACAATTAGTCTCATAGCTTTCAAAAAGTAATCAAAAGTAGGACTTTTCATGCGATTTCGGGTCAGAAAAGCCCGATATGCCATGTGGCGTAGATATGGTGTTTTTTCTTGACATGTTGGCAGCAGTCATCACACGTGGCATGACACTAAACCCGTGGGACTAGTTTTGAAGATTTTTCTATCTTTTATGTTGTTATGCTTTTCTTTTGTTATATAAATTATTATATATATAATATATATTAATTAATATAAAATAGTATTAAGTAAATCTAAGATAATATTATTAATAAATATATAATTATTCATTATAACTATTTATAAAAATTTTAATTACAAATAAAGATACAATATATATTAAAATAAAATTAGAAAATATTTTTAATTACTTTTATTTTGTGATGTGTTATTTTTAATAGGTATTCTTTTAACTTCTTTTTAAAATAAATTATTATAAAATTACAAAAATTTTTTTTTTTATTCATCAGATAATTATAGTTAACATTCTTTATTCATGACATAATTGTTCTTTGTATAATTTTATTATTAGTGAAAAGTGTTAACTATAATTATGTCATGAATGAAAATATTTTTTTAATTTTATAATAAATTAATTTTATAGTTAATTTATTTTTAGTAATTATATATTTTTTATTAAATAATCATAAAATTACAAAAAAAAAATAGATTATGTCATGAATATAAATGTTAGCTATAATGAGTCATGAATAAAACTATTTTTGTAATTTTATAAATTATACCATATATGTCTTTTTTATTTCGTCGAAAATTGATTTTACGGTATAGACGTTTATGACCTCCCTTCAATTGAGTAGCCCTCCATTTGATATACCACTTGGTAAGGTGAATATAACTATTTTTGTAATTTTATAATAATCTAATTTTATAGTTAACTACATTTCTATTTTTGACCTTTTAGAATTATTTAATAAAAAAATATAGTAATTAGTAAAAACAAATTAACTATAAAATTATATTATTATAAAAATTACAAATATAATTATATTCATCTTACGAAGTAGCATGTCAGATGGATGGACACCCAATTGGAGGGGGAGGTCATAAGCGTCTATACCGTAAAATCAATTTTTGGCGAAATAAAAAAAAATATGGTATCGTTTATAAAATTACAAAAATAATTTTATTCATGACATAATTATAGCTAACATTTTTATTCATGACATATTTTTTTTTTCTGTAACTTTATAATTATTTAATAAAAAGGTATATTAATTTTTAAAAACATTATTTAATAAAAAAGTATAGTAATTTTTAAAAAAAAATTAATATAAAATGACAAATAGTTTAATTCATGACATAATTACAGTTAACATTTTTTCACTATATTTTTCATTAACTAATAATAAAATTATAAAAAACAATTATACATGAATAGAATATTAACTATATTATCTGATAAAAAAATATATTTTTGTAATTTTATAATAATTTAATTTAAAAAGAAGCTAAAAGAATACCTATTAAAAATAACACATCACAAAATAAAAGTAATTAAAATATTTTCTAATGCCACGTTTGATGACTGCTGCCAACATGTCAAGAAAAAATGTCAAATCTGCGCACATGGCATATCGGGCTTTTCAGACACGAAATCGTATGAAAAATCGTGCTTTTGATTACTTTTTGAAAGCTGTGGGATTAATTGTGACTTTCGCTATCTTGCGGGACCAAAAAATGGCACCACCCTCGATCTGTGGGACTAGTTTTGAATTTTTCCCGATATATATACATATACGGTAGAAGAATTCTCAAACACCAATTACGCTTCCGCTCTTTTGTTTGTTTGATTCTTAATCATTTAACATGAATGGTTTTGAGATTGAATTAATTTCATTTGGGTATATATTGAATTAATTTCATTTGGATATATATACCAACAAGCGATATCAAAGCCTTCATGTTGAATTTTTTAGATTCCATACGTGTTTATATTTTTTTTCTAAGTGAATTCATGTTAGCATAATGGATTGCAATTATTTTTAGTTTCAATTATTTACAACTGCTGTGAGAATTTGAGACTATATGAATTTAGTTGCAAGTTATTTGATTCAAGATGAAACTAAGAATCTTAAAAAAATAAAAATAAAAAGTTCTCGAAAATATTTCTTTTTGGGGTAATTTTGGTTCTTGAATTATTCTCCTATCATGGTTAAGAATGCATAACATGAATTATTGCTTCATTTCGTGAATGTTTATTGTGTTTTCATGATTTTTTAGTGTAAAAAAATGCATTAAGAGCTATGGTTATGGTTGATTTTTCGTGGATCTGTAGCGGGTTTTGAACCGGGTCGTGTCTGGCCATAGTTTTTAAACTCGGCCCGAAAATCGACCTGGACAGGTCTTCGGGTCACCGGGTCACCGGTTCAACCGTCGGGTCACCGGGTCAATTGCTGAACCGGATAATTAATTTTAAAATTTTTAAAATTATATATATAGTATTTTTGACATATAAATATACATAGAAATAACAAAAATAAATGTTTTGCATATACAAAATTTGTGCATTTAAGTGTTAATAATATTGTTACCCGGTCCAAATAGCCACCCGAACCGGTTTCGACTCCAGGTAGACTGGGTCCCGGATCGACCCGCCGGGCCGGTCCGGATAAAAAAACAATGGGTCTGGCCGGCTACAGGTTGCAGGTGATTCAAAAACAAAAAAAAAAAAGCATAACATGAGTTATCGCTTCATTTTGTGAATGTTTATCGTGTTTTAATGATTTTTGGGTGCAAAAAAATGCATTAAGAGCCTGGTTATGGCTGATTTTTCGTGGGTCTGTAGTGGGTCCCGAATCGGGTCGGGTCTGGCCCACTACATAATTCAGGTGATTGGAAAAAAAGGTTGTTGTGCTTGGATGTCGATCGCAGGGTTTTATGATTTTGATGCTTGCCAGCTTGCCACCTATGCTTATCTTGAGTAAAGTGTCACAGTATAATAAATATGGGTCTCAGAATATTTTATACATTTTATTAACATTAAAATTTATAAGCTAATTATTTATTTATTGATTGTGCAAATGTTGTAAATTAATTTATTAATTTCACATATAAATAAATATTTCAGTCATTACTTTTAAATTTATTTTGGTACATCTCATGTTTCTTTTATTTGTCTAAAATTTAAAACAAGTTTATTGCAACAAGAAGTCGCAAAAGTGACCTTTCTTGTGTAGATATTATTTGTTAAAATTTTAGATGTTTGTTTTATATTTTTTCATGCAAGTATTTAGTCAACTCAAAGGAAGATTAATATTTGGCAAAATATATAAATAATTGTGGTGGTAAATAACAATATATAGTTATATTCATGGGAATAATATGTTTTTCAAAAGAAAGGCTATTGTTTGACAGGATTTTGTCAATATTTGATTGCTATACAAAAGCGACCACTTACAAATTAATATTACTGTGCAAAGACTTGAAGTATATTAATGTTGTGTTAGGTGCCTTGAGATATTGCTAAATTTATATAAATTTGTATGATTGATGTGATCATGTTTTATTAATTTAATGTTATTCTCTGTTCAGCTATGTCGTCTGCTACTTCTATTTCTACTAACACCAACAACATTTCCATGCTTAATGGGTCCAATTTCAAGGATTGGAAAGAAAATGTTCTGATCACTTTGTGCTGCATGGATCTTGACTATGTGCTAAGGGTTGAGCAACCCCTTTCTCTTACGAGTACAAGTACTGTCACTGAAAGACAAAACTTTGAGAAGTTGAATGCTCAAATTGCGTTAGTCTGATGATCATTAAGCGCGACATTCCAGAAGCCTTTCAAGGCATTGCTTTTAAGGAAATTATTAAAAGCTAGTGAGTTCCTTGCCAAAATTGAGAAACGTTTTGTAAAAACGAAAAATCTGATATAAGTACGCTTTTAACGAATTTGATATAATTAAAGTACAAAGACAAGGAAAACATAAGGGAGTACGTCGTGCAGATGTCTCACATTGCTTCAAAATTAGGAGCAATAAAGCTCGATGTGTCTAAGGACTTGCTCGTTCATTTGATGTTGTTATCTCTTCCCTCATATTTCCGTCAGTTGTAACTGTCAAAGGGAGAAGTGGACTCTAAATGAGCTCATTTCATATTGTGCAAAAGAGGAAGAAAGGTTGAAGCAAGAAAGAGTTGAGGTTGTTTTACTGGCTAGTAATTTCAAAGATCAAGGCAAAAGAAAAATGGGAGAACAAGCTGTGAAGGATAAGGGCCCAACACAAAAGAAACAGAAATGTAAAATTTCGTCTGGCTGTTACTTTTGTGGAAAACATGGACATGCAAAGAAGGATTGTGCTAAATATCACGCTTTGCATGTGAAAAAACGTAGATTCCTTAATATGGTCCATTCTGAAGTTAATTTAGCTTCTGTATCACGAAAACGTGGTGGTTAGTTTCTGGTGCTACTACTCACATAAGTGTTTCAATGCAGGGTTGTCTGATCTACCGAAAACCATCTAAAGGTGAAAGATACATCTTTGTGGGTGACGGAAAATTGGTGCAAGTAGAGGCATTAGGGCATTTTATGGGACAAATTCAGTTTTTATTGTCACTTGAAAATTGTCAATTTAGTCTTTCATTGAACTCTAACATTGTTGGTACCGGTTTATTGAGTGCTTATGACAATCTATATATAATTGATACAATTGTCACATATACTGAATCATTGCATGTTGAATGTAGAGGCACTAAGCGAAAGTTAAATAGAGATGCTTCGGCTAAGTTATGGAAGAAGCATTTAGGTCACATCTCAAAAGGCAGAAATGAGTGACACGTGTCAAACGGTATTATGGATACACTTGATTTTTAGACTTTAATGTTTGCGTTGAGTGTATTAAAGGAAAAAAAAACTATAATGAAGAAATTAGGTGCCAAAAGAACTACAAATGTCTTAGAATTGATACATACGGATATTTGTGGTCCATTTCCTAAGGCTTCTTGGAATGGTCAACATTATTTTATATCATTAATAGATGACTACTCAACATATGGGTACCTATATTTTATTCATGAAAAATCTGAGGCACTGGACATGTTCAATATATTTAAAGTTGAAGTCGAGAATCAACTCGATAAAAGAATTAAAGCTTTCACGTCTGACCATGAAGGTGAATACTATGGTAGATATGATGGTTCAGGAGAACAATACGTCTAGGACCTTTTGCTCTTTTCCTAAAGGAATGTGGAATCGTCCCACAATACACTATGCCGGGTACACCCAGTATGAATGGTGTAGCTGAAAGACGAAATAGAACATTGAAAGATATGGTAAGGAGTATGATTAGTCATTCTTCATTACCTAAATCACTTTAGGGAGAAGCTTTGAAACAGTAGCTTATATTTTCAATAGGGTACCAACTAAAGCTACTGCTAAAACACCTTATGATCATTTCGTTGGGTCGTGGAAGTTGAGTCTTTGTGAAAAAGAGGAAACTTTTGAGCCGAATTCGAGATCGGGCAAAAGCCTAGTCTAAATTACTTTCATATTTGGGGATGTCGAGCTAAGACTCTGCCTTATAGGCCGAATGAAAAGAAATTGGACTAAAAAACCATTAGAAATTGTTTTATTGGTTATCCAGAAAAATCAAGGGGTTTTAAGTTTTATGATCCTACTGGGAGATCTATATTTGAGACGGGAAATGCCGTATTTTTTGAGGATGTTGAGTTTGGGGGAAAAAATAAGGTTAGAAATATTACCTTTGAGGAATTGTTTTCGATGCTTGCTACTGCTTCTGACAATATGCAAGTCTTTATTCCTGTAATTAGTCGAGATGTATATTTAGACCCTCAACAGAATACTGTTGAAAATCTTCCAACTTAAACTGATTCGAGTATTCAAGATGAACAAACTCAACAACCTCAAGAATTTGTGCCATTAAGAAGATCCATTAGAGATAGAAGGAATACCATTTCAGATGATTATATCGTATTTCTTCAAGAAAATGAAGACAATAATGGTTTGAAAGAAAGTGATCCTATCAATTGTCGTCAAGCCATGCAAGATCCAAATTCTCAAAAGTGGATCAATGCCATGAATAAAAATATAAGCCGATGCATGACAATCAAGTTTGAGATCTTGTCCCATTACCTGTAGGTGCGAAACCCATTGGTTTACAAATGGATATTTAAAACTAAATGGAATTCGAAGGGTAATGTGAAAAGATATAAGACTCGTCTTGTAGCTAAAGGCTTTACTCAAAAGGAAGACATTGATTATAAAGAGATTTTCTTTCCGGTTTGTTCAAAATACACTTTTAGGATACTTATGAAGTTAGTAGCACATTTTGATCTTGAATTACATCAGATGGATGTCAAAACAACGTTTCTAGATGGTGACATTGAATCGAAAAATTTTGTTTCTGGAGATCCAAATGCTATGGTTTGCAAACTAAAAATAATCATCTATGGACTCAAACAAGCATCTTGTCAGTGGTATCATAAATTTCATCATCTTGTAATCTCGGCAGTGGTGGGGAGAAGGGACGGTGGGAGAGAGCGGCGAGAGGTGACAGAGAGGTTGGCGATAAATATAATATTCCCTTTACTATTGTATAATCTTGACACTTTTTTGGTTGTTGGAAGTATTAGATCTATGACTATTATTCACTCTTATTTCTTTTACTAACAACTGTTATAGGCTACCCCATGAATGCAAGAAGAACATTTTTTCGGCTCATTTTTCAGTTAATTGTGGAACCAATATGTTTCATTTTTATATTAATTAAGAGTAATCATATTTTTTTAACAATTCTATTCTATAATAATTACTACTAATGCTATTTAATAATAAAACCATACTAAAAGATATATGAAAGTTACATACTTATCAAAATTTGTATTGCAAATTTTTTTTCTTCAAGCTATTTATTCTATTATTAATACTATTTTTTTTTCCTTATCATTAAGAGATTTTTTCTTAACATTATATAATTAGTTTTAATGTCATAATCAAAATATTTAAAATTATAATAATACTAATAATAATTATAATAATAATAATAATAATATATTTTAGCTTATTAATTATTTGTGATCCATCAAAATAACAAAAAATATATTATTCATTACATACTTTTGCCATCAATAGAATTATCTATATATAAATTAAATATTTTATATTTAGATCGTTAATTTCTACTAATGATTAAAAATAGAGCCGGTCCTGAACTTTATAAGGACCTAGGCGAAATATGTTAAATATTGCCTTTGATTAATTTTTTTTAAGTTAATAAAACAAAACATAATGTAACTCGCCATAATAAAAACAACGAAATTTAAAATAAAAATATAACTAGATTTTATGAATAATATATGAGGAACTTCATAAG